TTCTCTCTCATCGATGTTTCTAACTCTCTATCCCTCTCCCTTCTTCTCTGTAAAAAAATCAATAAAATATATTTAAAAAGAAAATAGTAAATAAAACAGCGTAGCCCCCGTAATCCATGAACAGGCTGGTGCTTGGAAAATCCACGTGAGTCATCTCTGTCCCCACGTGGAAATTTAAGGCCCTTATCTGCCCCCCAAACACCCCCTCCTCCACCCCCATGTGACTTGTGTTTTCATCTTCACGTCTCTCCCCTGCGTACGCCTCCCGTTAATCTCACGGGCTATCAAACCACGGAGAACCGACCACACAGCACACGCCAGCGTTCACAGAATTGATAATAAATTCATTGCAAAGAAAAAAAGAAAAAAGAAAAAAATACTTCAAGATGAATCAGGCTCTAAGACAGCGGTTCTCAACCTGTGGGTCGCGAGCCCTTTGGGGGTCGAACGCCCCTTTCACAGGGGTCGCCTGAGACCGTCGGAAAACACATCTATAATCACATATTGTTTTTGTGATTGATCCCTGTGCTTTCATGATGTTCAATGTGTCACCATGAAAATCCATCCTGCAGATCAGATATTTCCATGACGATTCGTCACAGCAGCCACATGACAGTGATGACGTAGCAACGAGAATAATGTTATGGTTGGGGGTCCCCACAGCATGAGGAGCTGTATTCAAGGGTCGCGGCCTTAGGAAGGTTGAGAACCACTGGTCTAAGACAAAGACAGACCCTGGCTAGTGTGGCTCAGTGGATAGAGCGTCGACCTGGGGACTGGAGGGTCCCGGGTTCGATTCCTGGTCAAGGGCACAGGCCCGGGTTGTGGGCTGGATCCCCAGTAGGGGGCGTGAAGGAGGCAGGCGATCCATGATTCTCTCTCATCATGGATGTTTCTCTCTCTCTCTCCCTCTCCCTTCCTCTCTGAAATCAATAAAAATATATAAAACTAGAGGCCCCAGTGCACGAAATTCATGCAAGACTAGGCCTTCCTTCTCCCGGCTGCCGGCACCGGCTTCCCTCTGGCACCTGGGACCCGGGCTTCCCTCATAGCACTTGGCTTCATCCGGAAGGTCGTCTGGAAGGATGTCTGGTCTAATTAGCATATTGCACTTTTATTAATATAGAAATTCTATATAATAAAAGCCTAATATGCTAGGTGTCTGGTTGTCCGGTCGGCCATTCAACCAATCAAAGCGTAATATGCTAATGATATGCTAAGGCCACTCAACCGCTCGCTGTGACGTGCACTGACCACCAGGGGGCAGACAGTCGACTGGTCGACCAGTCGCTATGACGTGCACTGACCACCAGGGGGCAGAGGCTCCGACCGGTAGGTGAGCTTGCTGCTGGGGTCCGGCAGATCGGGGACTGAGCGAGATGGGCCGGACACGCCCTGGAGCCCTCCCTCCCGGGGTCCCTCCCCGGCCCCGATTGTGCACCAGTGGGGTCCCTCGGCCTGGCCTGCGCCCCCTCGCAATCCGGGACCCCTCGGGGGATGTCGGGGAGCCCATTTCGGCCCCGATCCCGCAGGCCTCTGGTACGTACATATATTTTAAAAAGCGATATATTTTTTTTAACACGGGGCACGGCTTTTTTTACTTTTTTCCTTCCCCCGGACACTCACCCGTAGAGAAAAGTCAAGTTGGTCCCCGGGGGCTGGTTGGCGTCCCAGGTCACCTGCACGGTTTCGAAATTAAAGTTGATGATCTGATGTTCGAACGCGCCCCCTGGGGTCAAAACAGGCGAATGCGGGAGAGGCTTTGAGGGTTGTAAAGTGATGTCCGCACTCTTGTCGGAAAAATGACACAGCGGCTCAGTGGTTTAGCGTCGACCTGTGAACCAGGAGGTCCCGGGTTCGATTCCCGGTCAAGGGCACAGGCCGGGGTTGTCCCCTCGATCCCCAGTAGGGGGCGTGCAGGAGGCGGCCGGTCCATGATTCTCTCTCATTATGAATGTTTCTCTCTCTCTCTCTCACTCTCCCTTCCTCTCTCTGAAATCAATCAATCAATCAATCAATCAATAAGGAAGGATGACCCAGCCAATGGACACAGGCCTCCCAGGATCAGGGCAGAGAAAACCTTGCCAGAAATAGGAATGTCCGGCCCGTGGGCTGTATGAGGCCCAAGAAATCACTTGATATTAGGGATGAGTTCATACCACGTTTGACCAAACATAACAGGCCAATGTTTTTCATAAATCATTTATGTGTTTATTTTTAAATATATTTTTATGGATTTCAGAGAGAAAGGGAGAGAGAGAGAGAGAGAGAGAGAGAGAGAGAGAGAGAGAGA